TGTCTATGTTGAAATCGGTTGTGCTGTTAAAGTTTTGTGTAAAAAAAAAAAAAAAACCAAAAAATTGGATCATTCTTGGATCAACTTAAAGCATTTATTTGAGTCAGAAATATTTTGTAATATTACAAATGTTTCTACTCTCATTTTACTCACTGCATTCTAGCTGAATAAAAGTATTAAACTATTGTAAGTATTAATAAAATGAATTACTGACCCCAAATTGTTACGGCAGTGTATCTATACACAATTTTACTAAAAAAAAAAAAAAAAAAAAACCTGATAAATCCATTTCTCCTCTGTCTTAAACCATAGACCGTAAAAGAACGCCTTAAACGTAAGGCATTTCCACCATTGTCAAAGCTAAAAACTACATTTTGAAAGGATCTGTCATCTCTTGTGAAATCCAGTAGGGGGCAGAAGCACACCAGCTGTGTTATGCCAGTCAAGTGTTTTGATAGCCTATAAGAAAATGATTGGACAATGTAATAATTGGATAACAAATCGCCCGTATCATTAAATATGACCTTTCATTTTTATTTCGATTAGCCGTACTACCCATAGACTGTAAAAAAGGTTTTACCCTCTTTTTATTGATAATTGTGTTACGGTTGGGTTTAATGACATTAACAGTGAGACACGCTACTTTATCTAAAATTTGCAAAAGCTTTTATCTAAATTCAATAATGATAATATTAAAACTAAGTAGAATATGTTATGCATTTATACAATTTATTTGTCAATCTAAAAAATTGTTTGAAGTGGAAAAAACAGCAAAACACGGTGATTAAAATAATGCATGATCTTTGCATCATTTAGAAGGAATATTTATTTATTTTACCTTGCCCTAAAGAGCGAAAACATGTACAAATAAATAACATGAACTGAGCAATATCCAATAGCATATTTTGCTCGGAAGATTAGGTGTTTTTTATGTTATTTTTTTATCCATTTAATGCTCCGTTTATATTTATGAAACCGACATTAAGCATTAACCTGCAATACCGCTTCTTTCTTTTTTTTTTTTTAAGTTTAAGAGGTCATCTTTGTACCTCGCCTGACCTCACGCGCCAATCCGCTCCAGATGTCTCAAAGCGTTGTATCTCGACGAAACGCGAGGTGGGTTTGCACAGAGCGACATGATTGACATAATAGAGAGAAGTAATCTACTGTGGACCTCCCATTTGACTCCCTGTGTCAATATTGGATGAGAGGAAAGTGCCGTGCGACAGGTGTCCAGGACAGAGTTCCGCGCGCTCAAGACAGAGAGCAGATCAATGCATTACTCTCGTGTACACTATATAAAGCTGAAGGCCTCAGCAGGTATGTATGTGTGCATTAGCAGTCGCTATCATAACGCTTCTGGCGCGCTGAACGACATGGTAAGTTTTGTCAAGTTTTTGTAACATTTTGGTTAATGCACACCGATACTTGCCTACTTTTAAAATGTCCTGAACTGTACAATCATATATTTTCATGTTCAAGAACATTATAATGTTGTTAATAGAAAGTTACCAATAAAATAATTGTTCACATGATCTATTGTTCTTCTTTACTGATTGTCAGGAAATCGACAAGTCATCATCAGAAACCGAATGAGTCAATGGACGTCATAATGGATGTTGTATATGTGCTTTCTGTACTTGTATCACGTTGAGCCACACGCACAATACCTGCAGATGAAATGGTTTTGTTCGTTCGGCTCGCGTTACGCAGATGCAGACATGCGTCAGTAAAACACCATACAGCGGGAACCGGGATCCACGCAGAGACTGACTTTTCCACTGCTGTCACAATCTGTTCAACGACGCTTGACCGTGTTAAAACAATGAATAAAGCGCGTATAATTTGCTGAATAACTATTTTGAATGAATAGCCTATCTATGTCGACATAATGTCTTATTTTCATGTTATTTATTTGGTATTTAAACAAAGGAAAACTCTGCTTGTTAAAAATAGGCTTAGTTTTACCAGGATGCTGCCTACCACTTGTAATACTGCAAGGCCATCATTTAGGCTATAGTTTATGAATTGTCTTATAGGCTATGACCATTGTATTTTAAAACAATAGCCTACAAATATAATAATCAGTATTGATAGTAAAACATTTCCATTACGTTGAATTACATGCTATTTTCTAGTTAGATCTTTGAGAGAAGCCCAATTGTTAAAGAACCAACATAAAGATATCTTATTATCGTCTTCCTTTTCATAATGGAGGCGTGCAATGTACGTTATTTTTAATTGTTGCATTATTTTAATAAAACAGAAACTAAATTTAAAAAACAAAAAAGTGCTTTCTCAATTTGTATTAGTAATCAACAGACAATACAATTGTTTCTGAATTAAGCATAATGCTATTGCATTATTCTTGGTAAGTACTTTGCAAACAGTTAGCCTGTATACCTGCTGGACAGGAGTTGCCTGTTGGCTATGTGGCAGTTAAAAGGGTTACTGTTGAAAATGCAAATTATGTTTTTTTTCTTGCCCTTGGCAGTAGATTAGATGGAAATGTCTGTCTCTGTATATGGCCATGTTCTGCCGAAGCACCCGTCCTTGTGTGCTCAAACACATAAAGGACATTATCAGAGCAGATGTCACCTGCACTAGCTGGCTGGACCTGTCCACATTTGCCCTTAGAAGGATTAGTTTCCATAGCACCCTAAAGAAAACATCATCCAGCACTAACTATTCAAATAGCACCGACCAGTTTCACTGCACCTTCACACCTTTGTAAACTGCATGGTAAAGTAAATGAATGACAATCAGGAGAAACAAAATGCACACATATGGTTTGATGGTGTTGTGCACAACACACAACAATAATGAACATTAAAAAATTTAGTTTATCTTCGCATGAAAATAAAATGTGGCCATATTACAGTTTAATTTGTGCTCAAATGAAATGTAATATGATATGTTACATCCTGCTTTTCTGAGCAATGACTCCATATACTCTGGAGTGACACGGAAGCATCACACTTTCTGATTTTGCAACGGATTGATTTGCATGTCAAATCCCACTGACAGTTATGGGTTTTGCATGTGGGATGTTTACCTTAACACACACTTCAGTGCTCATCTGATGATGTCATCAATTCCTCATCTCTTATGCTCATTAAAGATGCATTTAGCCTATTTTAAAAAAAAAAATACAGTATCAAAAGTACAGTACAAACAGTGATATTATAAAATATGATTGAAATATGCATATTCTGTTTTAATAGGTTTGTAAATTATTGATGGTAAAGCTGAATTTTCTACATCATGCAGTCTTCAGTGGCACATGATTTGCTTCAGAATTCATTATAATATATTATGCTGACTTGGTGCTCAAGAAACATTTCTTATTATCATCAATGTCGAACAGCTGTGCTGCTTAATGTTTTTTGTTTTTGTGAAAACAATGGTATTTTTCAGGATTTTTGGATGAATAAAATGTTTATCGATGAACAGCAAAATAAATATACTTGAAAAATAAATATTCTGTAATATTATATAACTCTCTCTATCTCACTCATATAAATATATATATAGCACAGAAAAATTATGAAATAAATTCGTAATTATGTACATAATATATATCTCACCCTCAATGCATCACCTAACTGATGCCTTGGGAAGCATTTGGACATGCTTCAATATCTGACGCTTTAGGCGCCCTTTAGCGTCAGTTAAATGACGCCCTAGGATCGCGTGTACCCTACCCCCACCCCACACCTAAACCTAACCGCGTCTTCTAACTGACGCTTTCCTTTAGCGTCAGTTAGATGACGCCGTAGGATCGCGCCATGTAAGTGACGCTAAAGGGCGCCTAAAACGTCAAATATTGAAGCATGGTCAAAGGTGACGCCTTGGGGTGAGAATGCGTTGTATATATATATATATATATATATATATATATATATATATATATATATATATATATTATGTACAGTGTGGATGCAACTTCATTCTAATGATATTATTCCCCTTTTTTGTATCAGGGCTTGTGGGATGTAACTGGCTATCCTGAGAAAATTAGTGTGAGCTCAGATCCGCTAAATCAGGATAACAGGACAACAGCTGTGCTCCCTGCATCTCTACAGCACCTGTTCTTACGCAAACAACGCCTAACAGGTGCGAACAATCACATATGCATGCATTGACACACATATTATCCATACCTTGGCTTATTAGAATATTTAATAGGGTTTGGATTTCAACATATGTCTACGTCTTGACTATAAAAATAATAAAACTTAATGCTCTAGTGATAAAGGTCATAAAAATGAAATCCACTGGTCATGCAATAAAGGATCACACCACAAGATGTCATCAAAAGGGCTGCCCAATGGACTCATGTTCAGTTTTAAGTACAAAAATAATGTTTTTCTTTTACTTTTATTTATATGATCATGCTCTAAATTACAGTTGTTCTTGATTTGATAAATCTGACCATGCTTATCAGATTTCAAAAGTTACTTTTATGATGTATTATTAAAGTTGTTATCGATTGTACTAAAACAGCCGTATTCATCTGAGCAGCTGCAATTATTATAGATTTAAAAGAGTATGTATATTACTGTAAATTTTGTGATCCCCCCACCCCACCACACCTCAGTACATGCATATATTGTTGTTCAAATGATCTCAGAAACAAAAAGAGAAGATTTGTGTTCTGTGTGTATTATGTTTTCTGATATGATTATTAATGTTCAGCATCATTACTATTACTATAGGTCAACAACAGCCAGTTCTGTCCAGGGAGAGCATCCACAAGCAGGCACCAGAGAGTGACCACGGACGGCTCAGCCTAATCTCCAACAATTCTGCTATTATCTGCCCTATCCAATCAAAGTCTCGTGTCAAAGCATCGCCATTGTGAATAGCCAAGGGTCCAGCGTGGGGGCAGAGTGTGGCGTTTTGATGAGTCAGTGGGTCTAAGACCTCCACAATAGAGCGCACAGGGCTCCACAATAGTGAAGGCTAATGCGGTTTTTCTGTTGGCTGCTGCTGAGTGTGCAGGCCTGATGCGCATTCTGCACTAAATGAGGGGCACTGTGCTATAAAAACACTGGGCAAGGGCTTGGCCACCACATTGATTATACTGGATCTGTCCCACCTCAGTACGTGAGTATGCCACTGTCTTTGCCCTTCAAAAAAGTGAAACATTGGATTCCTGTACAATGATAAAGAGCACAGACAGAGAGAAAGTGATCTTACTAGCACAAAGAGATCCTGCTAGCAGAAAACAAATACTGTCGAAACTTTATCCAGGAATCTACCCAGGAATGTTTCACAATGGTGCATGAATTCACGCCATGGTCTTGGTTATGCCCCTCTCCTCTCCTTGTTTTCCCGGTATAGAGAGAGCGCGGTGATCGACAGCAGCCATGAATCCGCAGCAGCAGTTGGAGCAGAGGGGGAAGTTTAGGATGACTGTGTTCGAGGAGGAGTTCTTCCAGGGAAAGAGCTGTGAATTCACGTTTGAGTGCCAGAACATTCTGGACAGAGACTTCCGAAAGATTCGCTCCATTAAGGTGGAGAATGGCCCGTAAGTGTAACCTCTGGATGTTTCAATGTGCAAAGGGTGAAGCTGGGAGGATGTATGACCGCCATGTTTAATATTGGAGATGTATTTTGATTGATTGATTGATTGATTGATTAATACAGTGAGATATTTGTAAAATTAGAAGTAATATGCACTATATATATATAACTGTTATATATATATATATATATATATATATATATATATATAACTGCTCAAAAGATTTATTCCTTTTGTTCAGCAAGGATGCATTAAAATGATCAAAAGTGGCTGTAAAGACAGTTAGACTGTTACAAAAGATTTACCAAATAAATGAGGAAATTTCTTTTCTATATCCTGATATCCTGAAAACACAAAAATATTTAACAGCACATTTTTATAACATGGCTAATAATAAGAAATGTTTATTGAGAACCAAATCAATATATATATATATATATATATATATATATATATATATATATATATATATATATACTGTATTTGTGTGTGTGTGTGTGTGTGTGTGTGTGTGTGTGTGTGTGTGTGTGTGTGTGTGTGTGTGTGTGTATAGTAGTGGCCAAAAGTGATGTGCAGCCTGTTGGAAAATTGACATATTTACCCTTTATTCAACTAAAATATTATTAACTAAAATGTAATATTAGTACTATATTAGTACTATAAATATTAACTAAAATGTATTTTGTTAAAGATTTTGTCAGCATATTGTATAATTTTACTTGGAGTGAATTGTTTTATTTGTGTTTTATATATTGTTGTTGTTGTTGTTTATTACTTAAACATGCCTATATTAGAATAAAAGTGACTCTTTGCAACTTTCATAACATGAAATACATTTAGCAACATACTTGATAGCCAATCATTATGCCATCTGCACAATGTCCCACAAAACAAGCAATTTAATTGTCATAAACAGCATTTCCATCCGGAACTAATAGTCTGAATGCTGTTTAAAAAAATATATATATATATATATATATATATATATATACGAACTGGAACAATGACAGAGAGATAGCAGAGATAGTGTGTGCGGCTGGCAGCTGCCGGCTGTGTTGTGCCTGTCTGTGATGATGACAGATGAGCTGATAAAAGAACAGAGCCGCTCATTCAGCCCTCACCATCGTGTTTGCCTTTGCCTTTGTGTCCTGATCAGCAGCGATCATTGCCATGTAAAACGATGTTGCTTCTTGGTTTGTGTTGACTATGACATTCTGTCTCTCAGCTGGGTGGGGTACGAGTATCCTGAGTTCCAGGGCCAGCAGTTCATCCTAGAGAAAGGAGATTATCCCTGTTACCAGGCCTGGAGTGGCAACAGCAGTTACAGAACAGAGCACATGCTCTCTTTCAGACCTATTAAATGTGCTGTAAGTTGATCCCATTATGTCAAATCTGCAAAGACTTTCTCATACGGCTTCTTACATCATCTCAGCATTCTCTTTGTTAAAACGGCACATTATGTTTACTTCATTACAAGTATCCTCCTAATCATCCTGGCGTGATCTCATTTCCCATACTCACTCTTTCCCCGACAGAACCACAGTGACAGTAAGATTACCCTCTATGAGTGTGAAGAATTCATGGGACGTAAATTTGAGATGTGTGAGGACTATCCCTCCCTTCAAGCCATGGGTTGGTGCAGCAAGGAAGTTCCCTCAATCAAAGTCAACTCAGGAGCGTAAGTCACCTCATTATTATTGGGGAAAAAAACATAATTCTATATAGAACCCTTGACTTATTGTTACAACCATTTAAGCCAAAAGGCTTCTATATAAGAAATGTATTAAATGATTGCAGATGTTTAACAGTTTTTTTATTTTATTTCTAGTCATAAAGTGTTAATAAAACTTTAATAATGAATTAAAAAAAATAAAGAATTAAAACTGATCCCCACCTGACAGAATCCTATTAATATAACTATATGTAATAATTTTGTTTAATAATGTTTTTAACAAGATAAACAGTATATATATATATATTAAATGATCAATAAGTTATAACAACGTATGTTTTTACATTGCTTTAACAGGCAATTTTAACTATTTTTTTTTGTTATACAAGATTCAACTCATTATTTAAAGTCAGTTTAATGTAATTTAGCACCTCCCTGCACGCAGTCTTATTAGTGTGCAGTGCAATAAATGAGATTTGCCCTTTTCTCTGGCAGCTGGGTAGGCTATCAGTTTCCTGGTTACCGTGGATATCAGTACATCTTTGAGAGAGACAGACGCCAAGGAGAGTACAGATGCTACAATGAGTTCGGCACCCAGGCACACACCAATCAGATCCAGTCTATGCGCAGAATTCAGCAATAAGACCCCACACCATTATGTACACATCATGTCATGCCATGTCATAGGCAATAAAGACATTATTTAAACTATGGTAAAAGTGTACTTTTTGCCTTGTTTTTTTTTTTTTTTTTTTTAATAAAACAACTTCTGCTCAAATCATGGATCTGCTAAGTTTGAATTCTTGATGTAAAAACAAGAAGGTTTTTAAGATATAATTAGAGCAGACCTTGCACATTTTAAAAGAAATCATGCAGAAATTTTGGCAAGATTTTTCTTTTTTCTGAGATTGCTTCCCCCCCCCCCCTTTTTTTTCTGTGACTACACTTTCAACGGAGGAATATAGGCCACTTCGTTAAATTTAACAATTATGATATTTTACACCAGATGAACACCACCAAGTCTTGATGTCCTAAACCACCAGGGGATGTGAGACTGTGATATTTATAATAAACAAGAGCATGAGTACATTCATGTTAGTGTTATGTTATTTATTATTATTATTATTATTTTTTTTTTTATTATTATTTTGTGGACTGTTTGGGGGGATTTTAGCTACATTTACAGATACATTTATACAAAATAAAATAAACATATTCATGTATATATAGGCCTATTCAATTTCCTGAAAAAAAATTACAGAGTAAAAAAATAAGTTACCTGGTTGCCTTAAAATTTTGAGTTCATTGAAATTAAAAATGTAAGTTCATATAATGATGGAGACTGGTTTAATCAGAAACCAAAAATATTAACCAAACCACATTAATTTTCTAAGTTGATTTGACAGAAGAAAAAAAATTGTGAAAATAAATCATGAAAATATTTTGTAGTGTAGAAATATAAAAAGTGTTGTTAATAAATGTTTAAATAAATGTTTCTTTAATGTGTATAAAAATACAACGAAAATATCTTTCTACTTTAAAAACTATTTTATTTTGCATATTTTATTTAAATTATCTAATTATCTAGGCCATTAGAATTTAGTATATATATATATATATATATATATATATATATATATATATATACTTTCAAAATTTGCCTTTTTTATTATCCATGGGCTGGTGAAAGTTCTCACGTGTTGTCACAGGTTTTTTTTTTTTTCGGGAGCTGTCCAAGGTCCTGACCTTTGTGGATCAAATAGGCCTATAAAGTTTTTCGTTGATGAAAACAGCCGAGGTCTAATGCAATGCCCTTGATGAAGGGGTAAAGGAAGTATCTTTTCCGTTCAATCAAATCGTTTGTAACACTGGGATCCGGGTGTGATTCCGTCTCTTCTGTTTGTTGTGTGTAACCGTTCAGGACTCTAGCAGTATTTGGCTGCGCACACCCACTTTCAGAATAAGATGTGTGCTGTTTGAAAACTTGCTCCCACACCCAGTCCAGGATCTCCTAATAAAATGTTCAACTGTACACACCTTAAATACACATTTCTCTACGAGATGATTAAAAGTGTAGTACTGGTTTTTAGTGCAGTGGTTAGCTATAAGACAGACAAGAGTGCTGAAAGCAGATGGATCTGGGACAGGCTGCAGTCTGACATAATAGGACGGGGTAAGTACACTTTAAGGGAGCAATTAGGACAGGACAGAGATAAGTTTTTAGATGGAAATGGCGGATATGAGTCGAAGATTATTCAACTAAACATGTCTTATAAATTAAACTAAACGTACTACCCAAAATGATAACATATAGTTAAATAATTTTAAGTAGGCTAATCTAAAATATTTATTCAAGTAAAATTCGTATTTAATAGGACTGAATCAACCTGACTACAAAGTTAGCCTTCATTGACAACAGAAAGGTGAGACCCGCGTAAAACATTTTGTTTTTTGAAGTTTGTGTTGTGTACTCAAACTTTTATATGATTGATTATTCCAAGTTTGCCTGCTATTTCCGATCCCTGAACTGAAATTATTGTCAAAAACAAAGAGTGCAGCTTTTATAACTTGTTCCCCCTACCGGGAACAGTTGTAATAGCCTAGCCTACCGTCAAATGAAACGTGGACATCTGGTTATGGTGGTAGTCGAATTTAGGCTACTGTTAAATTAACAAATATCCCCCAATCATCGCACAATTACATTTTTATCATTTTAAATAAAATGAGAAACAAACAAACATTTAAGACATTTTTGCAGGTATGTATAGTTAAAATTAAACAAGAGAATCTGTGGATTCAGTTAAACTCTAAAAAATGCTGTTTTTTGGGTAAAATATGGACAAACCCAGCCATTGGGTTACATTTTTAAATTGCATACCCAATGGCTGGGTTTGTTCATATTTTACCCAAAATTGGGTTAAAACAACCCAGCATTATTAGAGTGTAGCATATGGCAAATTACAGTTATCATTAAAAACACAACTTATCTTTGGATCTATTCCAGATTTAATACTTTCTCTTTGCATTTTTATATTCTAGATCACTTCTTTGATTAGCATTTCGCATTTATCTTTAAGCATTTAGGTGTTTTGAATGTCAGAAGGTCCAAGGCCAGCATGAAATATGTCGAGACTCGAGTGTATGGATGGACACACTCAAGCATTGCCTCGCTTCCGAGGCTTGTTTAAGTTGCCTGCGATCTCTTTAATGCCTCAGGCAGCTAAAGCAAGTCTGGGACGCCTGAGTCTGAGACAACACGACACAAACAACTACAAGATGACTCGCCTGTTCATCTGATATATATGTTTGTGCATATGATGTATTAATGTATGTTTATGCATTTGTGCATTTCACAGTTGACGCTGCCAGGGCAACGCATTCTCGGGCTCGCCAGGGAGACTTTATTTTTGTGCAATTAATACAGATTAAATACAGATTATACAGAATGAGTAGACTATAGTGTAATCGCACTAATTGCCTTATACACAAATATTATATTTTTATTTGTTATAAACAAATAGCCTTTGTATTACCACTTTCAGGTTTGACACATACACAACCTGTACAGATGGACAGCATTATGTTTGCTCGGCACACAAAAAAGTAATAAAGCATTTACCTTCTTTGTCTGTCTGTCTTTTTTTTTTTTTTTGTCACCTCATTGGTCCACGAGTGTCGTATGGGATTACTTTAAAATATATAGTGAACCTAAACTGTTTTGTTGTCGTTCACATAGTTATCAGTGATATTTTCTTATTTTTAAGATTTGGTTTTGTAAAAAGGAAATGCAAGGACTAAATAAAAAAGGTGTCAAAATAAAATGTTTAGACTACTCTAGTTATTTATAATGAAAAAAAAAGGTTATTTTTGGGTTCTATGTCTGGGTTCTTGACTCAGTTTTAAAAAAAACATGTTTTTGTTTAATAAAAAACAATGCATTATGTGACAGTAAGTGAAACGATTATAAGACAGTGAACATGGTTTACAATACCATCTATTGCGCATTAAAGGAACATACGTTTGGGATAAAATGTTCTTGTTTACCAGTATGCGCTGAGGCATGGTTAAAAAGTAAATATTCTCAACCAACATGGAACAGGCCTTTTTGTTTGCAAAGAGGTAAAAAGGCGGAAAAGAAAGAGGATCTGAACCGGTTTCCATGTCAAACACTTCAATTCTCCATAGAAACTCTGATCTTAACGCAGAAACTTTATTAAACCTTGATGGTGGATTGATAAGGCCGAATTTCTATCGGTTCCTTTTTATTGTGGAGACGGGGAGGGATGGCAGCTAAATTGCTCTTTTAATTAAACCAATGCACCGAAGGAAATTGCTGTCTGAATATTGTCTAAGAGATGGGGCTTGTGACAGTTGCCTGGAAACTTCAATCTGTCTCACATTTATTCCAGATCACAGTTTTGAGATAAAGTTTAATAAAAATCTTTGCGCCAATGAAAGCCTACCCTTTCACGTCCACCACCACCACCACAATGCGACAGAACTGCGGAGGAAGCCTTATGTTTAACATGTATCTCTCAGGTATAAGTCTTTTTGTACGTAAAATGAGAAAAAATAAGAACTGCTGAAATGAGTGAAAAGAATAGGGCGATGCTAGGGGTCTGTGGGTGCACGCTGCGCACCACCGCCGGTGTCTCTGAATTCTCCATCTGGAACGCATGTCCTCTTTTGTCGGAAATCGGATATCCTTTTTCCTGGACGCGTTTCCTGACCTCAGCGCTGAAGTCTGGGCAAATACATCGAGCAGCAACACGACGATTCTCATACTATTTAACCTCTTTTATTGCGAATTCTTATTTATAGATGGATGACATTACGTATTTTTCCTCTAAAATTATCGGCCTATAGAAACAAGGGGAAATAAGTTTAAAGCATATTTTGCTTATTACTCTTTTCAAAGTACACATAGAATATGAATTCTAATTGTCAGTCGTATTTCTTAAACGTTTTCTTCCAGACCCCACAGAAAATCTTCTGAAGGAAAGCAAAAGCTCTTCTTGGACCCCCATCAACACAGGCGTGCAGAAAGGTGAGTGATGCGATGAATTGTTGACGGACGAATTTTCTGACTTTTGTGCAAAAAAATAAAATAAATAAAAGGCTCTTAAATAGTTTTAAAAATAACTATTTTGTGCTTCACACAAAATTGTATACACACTTTTATTATGATTATACCTAAAAAAAAATAATTAAATAAAAATAAAGACTAATTTATGGGTTGTCAAGAAAAAAACCTTTCAGAGAACATTTCAGTTTTTCTGAATAACATTTATATAGTCTAAATAACCTTTTTACACTACAAAGAAACTCCAGAAAGATTCCATGGTTTAAATGATCTTCATAAAATCAAGCCAATAAAGAACCTTTATTTTTAAGACTGCAGAACCAAACCAATGCACTGAAAATATTTTTTTAATCTCCAAATGACCATATAACCAACTCAAGAACTCCGTAAAACTGTTTTTAGAAGAGTGATTTTAACTTCAAAGAACTTTTATTTTATATAATATTTCCCTGTCCTCTATTTATTCTGTCTTCACTGAATATTGATACAAAAAAGGTCGGTATCATTGTTTGCCCTACAAAGGCTACATGTATAGGCTAAGTTTAAACTTTCCTTCCATTTTATAGGAAGTGGACAAATCCAGCTATGGCAGTTTCTCCTGGAGCTGCTGTCTGACAGCGCCAATATGACATGCATTGCCTGGGAGGGGACCAATGGAGAGTTTAAACTCATAGACCCGGACGAGGTGGCCCGACGGTGGGGAGAACGCAAGAGTAAACCGAACATGAACTATGACAAATTGAGCCGCGCTCTTCGCTATTACTACGACAAAAACATCATGACCAAGGTGCACGGAAAACGCTACGCGTACAAATTTGACTTTAACGGACTGGCGCAAGTGTGCCAGCCCTCTTCAACTGAACAAGCTATTTATAAGTTCCAGAGCAACTTCGCTCCCATCCAGTTTTCAGGCATTTCCAAACTCAATCTGGTTGCGCCAGGTGTTGGTCCGTCGGGGTTCTCCTACTGGCCCGGATCTCCTCCCACCCTCTACCACAGCCACAACCTGCAACCGCCAGGAGCCTTCGGTGCCGTGTCTGCGTCACATTTAAGTTGCGTAAACAATATCAATACTTTAAACAACCTGAATAATATCAACACTCACTATAATTGATTTTTTTTTTCCCTTGGTGCGCGTCGATATAGCCAAAAGCGCAAACTGATCAGCCAAGCGCAATCACTCCAGATAAGACCGTAGCCTAATAATTTACAATAGGCATTGAATAGGCCTTAACTTCTTTACTCGATTGAAAACGATAATTGCGGCTGAACATATGGAGGACTGTTGTGTTGACCACTTTAAGATAAGAAAACAATTTAGCGCCATCTTATGGATAACGAATAACATGGCTAATTTGCCTTACCTCCCAAACCTTTGAGGTCAACAAAAGAGAAGACAAAATTAAGGTAGGCTATGTTGGAGAAAAGACTACATGGTAGAACAAATGGTTAAGAAGCAAAAACGTCTTGGCACACCTGTGCAATCGAGCATATAGTTCACTCTTAGCCCGTATGGAGCGCTTTAATTTTCGTTATTTATTTACGATAGTGACTGTGTGTGTGTTGGTCGAAACATTGGGCATAGGGAGGACGTTGTGGGTCTGAAAATTAGGCATAGGCCTACATTTTCAAAAGTGTAGGCCTATATCCTAATAAATCGTAAAGAATAACTAGCCTATGTTTTTTTTTTTCCTGTAGCCTATTGGTATTATGGAAGCTTGTTTCCGGAATGAAAAATAAAAAATGTAGTTGCGACTTTTTATTTCTATTCTGACTTTTTTCTTCTCAATTGCGAGATATAAAGTCAGAATTGCGTGATATAAGGAGCAATCGCATGTTATAAAGTCAGAATTGCGAGATATAAAGTCGAAATTGCGTGTTGTAGAGTAAGAATTGTGAGATTTCTGTGAGATTTAATTCTATAAGTTTTATAAGTATAGCCTATTTATAAAACTTATAATAAATAAAACCTCACAGAAATCTCACAATGCCGCATTGGCCTAGGCCTTTATAAGTAGGCTATTCTATAAGTTAGTCCTTTTTCCCTTAGAATTGACCTGATAACAGATATCAGATAACAGATGAGATAAAAAGTCTCAATTCTGTCTTTTTTTCTCGCAATTGCGACTTTATTACTCAGAATTGCGACTTTATATCTCGCAATTTGCGATTTTATTTCTCAAAATTGCGACATCTCGCAACTTTATTTCTCATTGCGACATTATTTATATCTCGCAATTGCGACTCTGTTTCTGACTTCATATCTCGCAATTGTGAGATAAAAAGTCGCATATTAGGCTATTATTATTATTATTATTATTATTATTCTTTATTATTCAGTGGCGGAAACAAGCTTCCATAGGCTAATATAGTTAAACACGAGAGGACTTCTTTAAGTTGATAATTTGGTTATAATGTATTTTGCTTGTGATAAAACATTAAAATTGTTAAACAGTCTGATCTGTTAGCGTCATATTTTTGTGTGTTTCTAGGCGGGCTTAAGTAATTTTGTGTGGAATTCGGGAGTTATTTTATTAAATTAATTCTGAAAAATGCTAAATTTCATGAAATTGATTTTGTATGAGGGTAGACATCTTTGAAATAAAGCCTCAACATTTAAATTCTGTCATACATTTAGCCTACTCACCCTCAAGTTGTTCCTGTAGAAATGTCTTTGTTATGTGGAACAATGTTATGTTTCCTATTATCGCTGCAAAGCTGCTTTGAAACAATCTTTATTGTAAAAAGGACTAAATGAAGGTGACTTGACATAACTTGGACTTAAGACGTTATTTTGAAGAATGTTAGTAAAGAAATACCTCACAACTGTTTGCTTACCGACATTCTTCAGAATATCTCCCTTTGTATTCAGCAGAAGAAAGAAGTTCATAAGTTTGGAACAATTTGAGGGTCAGTAAATAAGGAAATATTTTTTTGTTTGTTTAGTTTTTGTTTTTTGAATAGGCTATAATGCTCTATTTTGTAGACATAATTAGTCACGAACTAAAATAGAAAAACTCAATAATTGTAAACATTTAATAATAATAAATTAGCCGCTATTTATCCAGTATTTATCTGATTAAATGTCGCCACAATTAAAGCACATTGGCTATGCTGTGGCTGCCCGTCATCGGTACACACTAAGAAAACAGCATAATACACGTTATGCTGATATAAAAGTCTGTAAAGCCTCTATGATTCCTATCACATGGGGGCCCCCAACACTGTGCATTTTGCAGATCGCTTCGGTCTACAATACGTAATCAGGACACAAGAGGGCGTCATGTAGCTATAGCCTATTCCACCATACCTACAACTGTGCCGTAGGACATTCCTTCAGCTTCGTATGTCAAAAAATACTAAAAGAGGCAAACTCGGGGAAGTAGGAAAGAAATCCTAACCTTTTACTAATGTATCGTCACTAAGATATATCCATGGCAATACAGTTCAGTTGGCTAATTTGTGACAAATGGTTTTCTTGTATGCTAATTGGCAGTTTCTCCAGCATTGCTGTGTATTGTGAGGAGACCCATAAGTCCCATCAGTGTGATTTGCATGTCAATTAGCAGCTCTACTGGGGTCTGTCATTTATGGAAAGATTTGTTTGCACTGACACACTGGAATAGGCTCTTGTCTGGCCAATAGATTCCAGCTTAGAGAAAAGGTTTGTGCAAGGACAACCAAAGCTATATCAGCTATGTGAGTCGAGCTTAAGGAGTCTCTAACATTTTACTCACTTTAGGGGAGATAGAAGTTACACTTTTTGCTCCAGTAAATGTTGCTCTGGCTATATTTTTATTTATTTATTTATTTATTTATTTTTTGTATAGACCATTTTGCAAGATGTAAACAACACTGGTCCAGAAGCACTTCCTGTTTCAGTTTTTTAACACTACACAAAAGCTGGGATAAAATACAACCAACAGAACATATAAAACTGAATCAAAACGTTAAACAACATCTTCAAGATGTTTTCTTTACATGTGAAATAAAGAAAACAGTTACAAACTGAAACAGGAAGTGTTTCTGGACCAGTGTTGTTTACATCTGTAAGCCAATAACAACAAAGAGCGTCTAATCTATATTTCCGTAGGTGTTCCTCAGTACTCTATGTGCTAAATCACTCTTATAATAAGTCATTTCAGCTGCAGGGTGTCACTGAGTGAATGAGCAAGAGTTAATCTGGCCATTATGTGTGCTTAGTCCAGTGCAGCAGCTTTTGCATAACACACAGATGGACGGAGAGAACATTTCCAATCTCCTTTGTCCTATAAACAATCAAGCAAAAACATTATTTTACCTTCCTTGTAAACCCAATCCCACACTTTGTGTTAATGTTTTAAGGCACTTAAAAAAATGCCCAATGCTTTAGTTTCTTTTTCTAACCTGTGTTTACAAGCATGGTGTCAATCGCATAAAAATCACTGCTGTCACATGTAAAGGATAAATGCTATAATTGAAGGAACGTGAAGAGCGATCAATCAAAGTCAAGTTTGTTAACCCTTTGATGCACAACATGGGTCTAAATAGACCCGACTGAGTTTTCATTTTCTATATCTTTGCAAGAAATTAATTTCATCACTCAGTATTCCAGGTATTCCTCAATTAACTTGTTTTTGATCATCACAAATCCTTATTTTTATTTTTCATTTCTTACTTTTTGAATAAAAATAGTTTTTGTATAGCAACCCTTCTAATGCGCAACATGGGTCTAAAAAGACCCGTGTTCATTTCCTATGGTATTTCAGGGATGGCTGAGTGTTTTCTTTGCTGAATCTTTAAAATATATGTATTTTATCATTTCTTATTCCAGATATTTATTAAATATCTTGTTTTTGATTTCCACAAACCATTGGGTTTATGTTTCCTTTCTTACTTTATAAACAAACACAGTTTTTGTATTTCTACATCAATTTTACATACATGGGTCTAAAAAGACCCGTATTGATTTCCTATGGTATTTCAGTGATGGCTTGTTTTTCTTTGCTGAATCTTTCATTTAAAATATGTTTTTTTTAATCATTTCTTATTCCAGGTATTCATTAAATATCTTGTTTTTAATTTCCACAAATCATTATGTTAGTTTTTTTTTTATTTATTTCTACATCAATTTTACATACATGGGTCAAAATTTTTTATTAATCTTATTTTATTTTAACCACAGACATTTTTTATATATATATATATATATATATTGTAAAAGATAACAACATAATATCTCAATATTAGGCTATGGTTACCTTGACCTTGTAATCCTAGTGAGAAATCCTAGTGAGAAGGAGAAACATGTCCAATACTATTAGCTAGCTAGCTGTTGACATATTCTAGCTAGCTAATGTTAACTACACAAAAAAGATTGTTTTTTAAAGCTTATTTACATTTAGTAGGCCTAACAGTTCATAATCATTCATATGCTGAAATGATTCTTATACTGAAATCATTCTATGATTGAAATGATGCCCAGCTGCCAAAGACAGAAAAGTCAGCAACTGGTGTTCTCAGAGCACCAGGCCTGTGTGCAAGGAGCACAAACGTGTAGTTGTCATTTTTGACTGAGGCATGTAAGCACTAAGATGGCAATTTGAGATGCCGCTGTACCAGTGTGATTTTATTTTTTCTGTTTTTTTTTCTTTTATTTGGTCACATTCACCACAATTCAATACAGTTACACTACACCACAGTTCAATTTCAGTGTTATCAGTTATCAGTTATCTGTGATATGTGAATGCTATGCGAGACAAAGTGGCAAATAAACATTTCAAGTGTTAAATATGTTGTTAAAATTACTTCTAAGATTATCAATTTAACAAAATGTTGTCTTTATTCTTTTGTTTTATTATGCTTGATAAGTACATTTGATATAGTAACACAAAACCTAGAAAAAAATGAAAAAAAAAAATTTTTGGTAATTGAAAACAATATTTTTTTAATATTTATAAGTCATGAAATTTATAGATAATGGAATATTAAATGCTTAAATAAATTGATCTCAAAAGATAAAAAGAAAAGAAAAGTCCAGCCATGCATTAAATAACATAGGACATGAATACGGGTCTTTTTAGACCCATGTATGTAAAATTGATGTAGAAATACAAAAACTGTGTTTGTTTATAAAGTAAGAAAGGAAACATAAACACAATGATTTGTGGAAATCAAAAACAAGATATTTAATGAAGACCTGGAATAACAAATGATAAAATACATATAGTTTAAAGATTCAGCAAAGAAAACACTCAGCCATCCCTGAAATACCATAGGAAATGAATACGGGTCTTTTTAGACCCATGTTGCGCATTAGAAGGGGTATCCATAGCTTGCGCATCAAAGGGTTAATAGCATTCTTGGCTGCTAAAATCATTGTGAGGCAGTCTTGGTAAACACAAGCCTCTGTGACAGGAGAGGAGTGTTGGCTGGTGGCCCCTAGAGAAAGCTTAATGAGCAGTACTGCTTTGAATCTGTCTGTGTGATCTAGTGACTAACTCCCAGCCAGTGGGTGGCTCTGAATGTATCATCCATCCAAGTCAGTCACGGAACACCCACTCTGACTCTATATATAGTCAACATCCTCCATCTCGCTCTCCCACAGAGAGACTGAAAGTAAGTGAACATGTTACTCATTATACAACTAAAAAGTTAAGACAATTCATTTGCAACATTCTATATTATTCATGTCAAAATAATCATCTGTTATAGGTTTTACTATGGATTTCTGTTATCATTTATTCACCTTCATGTCATTTCAATCCTGTATGAATCATATGGACTGTTTCTTTACTCTATTTGGAGCTTGCCAGTCACTGGTCACATTCATTTATTTATTCGAATTTATCCGTTTGTGTTCTAAAAGCGGATAATATTAGTTTGGAACTGAGGGTGAATGATTCCTTAAAGCAAAGGAAATATATTCTTCATAACTTTAAGTTCACCAAGTGATCTGTTTAAAAGGGAGAGCTTTTGGGAAAGATGTTTATTTACTGACCCATTGGTATTACTACTGACACTTTGATTTCCAACCCGATATAACCTATTTCCACTAATCTGGGATTAGCCGGTGGAAAGCCTTAGGTAAGATCTCTTATACAGTATATATAGCCAGGGTACATGTTATATGGTCAAATCGATGGTGACTACAGAAGAAAGCCTCCTGGCAGATTAGGGAACAATTACAACAAGTACAAAAATAGAACTAATCATTCTTTGTTTGACACTTTGGTTGGGGTAAACTAAGGATTCGGGAGTCTGCATTTCTCACATCACTACAGAGTCATCTCAGAGTCATCCTGCTGAGGCCTCTTGCTACCATATTGCACCGTGAAGGAGCTATCATCTCTGGAGCATGATAGCCTCCCTGATGTGGGGTTGACACTGTTCTCTGAAAGTAGAAGGCTAGGGCCCCAACGCTTTCTCACCCCAAGGCGTCACCTTTGACCATGCTTCAATATTTGACGTTTTAGGCGCCCTTTAGCGTCAGTTACATGACGCGATCCTACGCCGTCATCTAACTGACGCTAAAGAAAATCGTCAGTTAGATGACCGGTTGGGTTTAGGTCAGGGGTGGGGGTAGGGTTACATGCGATCCTAGAGCATCATCTAACTGACGCTAAAGGGCGCCTAAAGCGTCAGATATTGAAGCATGGTCAAAATGTTAGGTTAGGTCAGTTAGGTGACGCCTTGGGGGTGAGAATGGGCTGAGGGCCCATAGGCTCCGGGCTATACTCCTTTAAAGAAAGTTCTCTTGGCGCTCCCTTTTATACTTCCTGGTCGCTCTAGAGCATGACGTCATGGTTAATGCGGACCAATAGAATTGTCGTGATTCTATAGTGTTTCAGTCATCAGTCACGCTGAGGCGTTCCCCATAGCGTTTGACGCAGTGTCTCGTTCCCTGTTCTCAGGGAACAAAGGTTACAGTCGTAACCTGAGACGTTTTCAAATGGTTGTGCAAATCAAATATATAGCTGCCTTGAGCATTTTCAGGTAGTGTCACCAAGATCTTGACATATGCACTGGAAAACATTTACAGAGTAAACTATCATAATGAAAACATGACAAAGCCATTTGACTATCTTCATGAACAATGGTGTCAGTGCTTTTCATTTTGATGACACTGACACTTTCATTCATGAATACTTGCTTTTGAGGAATGAGTTATCCTTGCTTTTGCAGGTTATCAATATGTTTTGCTGTTTTTACTAATTGTTTTGAGAACTGTATTAACTGTTGTGCAAATGTAAATAGTGATGTGAGAAATGCACCAAAGCCACTGAGAGAAACGTGTAAATTTAAAGAAGCAGAACTAAAAATGTATGCAAAATCAATTATGTGTTTTTAAAACAGAAAAAAAATTATGTGTTTTTTGTCGTTTGTCAAAACAAACAGATGATAGATATGGTCAAGGCCTGAGAGCTGGAAACTAGAGGTAGCCTCATGTTGCTTACAACAGAAGCTAGAAGAAGAAAATAGTTCCAAAACTAGGACATGTGTTGATTGCGAGCTAATTTCCTACTAAATAGAAGGCATAGCCTTCTTGACGTATTCATAATGTTCATGTGGCCACGCGCTGCTTGAAGACAAAGGACGTGAGGTTCTGCAGTGCTGTGAATGAGCGATCCTGCGGTTACTATAGAGACCGTCTGGAGAGACGAAGCCCCAGTTCACATGTACTCCTCTGACCCAGTCTAACACATCTCACAGACTGCACCATTTTCCGGCCAATGAACTCAAAGATCATTCACGCCAAGTGTTTTATTCACAATTCCGAGAGACTCGATCATTCTTGCTTTCAGCTGAACGTGATTGGCTGATGATCTAAAAAAGTCCCACAGAAAATAAATACATAGCCTCGAGTGAAGTCATAAACATGATTTATCCATCTGTTAATTGTAGACTAATTAGGCATATTATACAACAGTTATATAAATTACCATTCTCTCTTTCCTTTTTTCTAAAAATATCATTCGTAATCAAAGGGGAAAGGATTAAAAATGTAAAATAACCCATTCGTAAATCACACACACACACACACACACACACACACACACACACACACACACACACACACACACACACACACACACACACACACACACACAGAGAGAGAGAGAGAGAGAGAGAGAGAGATAAATAAATTGTAGCCTGTTAGTTTTCACACTAAAACTCTTAACTTAGTTACGTGGTTGCTTTAAATAAAACAATGTCAATACAATGGAGAACTGTTTAATCAACCGAAACTAAAAATATTATGTTTTCTGAACCACATTATATTGTCTGAACTACATTAATTCTCTAAGTTGATTTGACAAAAGAAAAAAAAAAGTTGTGATAACAAATCATGAAAATAATAGTGAAGACATGGTGGATAGATGCCTTGTTAGTGTACAAAGCTTCAAAGGGTTAGTTCACGCAAAAATGAAAAATTATGTCATTAATGACTCACCCTCATGTCGTTTCAAGCCCGTAAGACCTTTGTTCATCTTCAGAACACAGTTTAAGAAATTTTTGATTTAGTCAGAAAGCTTTCTATCCCTCCATTGAAAATGACACAGTATAATGTCCCTGCCCAGAAAGGAAATAAAGACATCATCAAAGTAGTCCATGTGACATGAGTGGGTTAGTTAGAATTTTTTGAAGCATTGAAAATACATTTTGGTCCAAAATTAACAAAAACTATAACTTTATTCAGCATTGTATTGTCTTCCGGTTATGTTGTCAATCCGCTTCAGTGACGCTCATGACGTAAGACGCTGCTGACGTGTTATCTGGTGTGTCCGTGTGTTTGGGTTCAAATAAATATGGCTGGGCAAAAAAATGCAAGTCTTCCTCTGTGTCAAAATCCTTAGACATGTTTGCAAAGATAGTATTGTTTACAGCGTGTGTCTCCCTCAGACTGTAATCAAAGCTCGGATGCACTGATAACACGTCAGCAGTGTCTTACATCAGCGTACAATGCGGACTTGTGAACGTGGCTCGACAACAGAACCAGAAGACAATACAATGCTGAATAAAGTCGTAGTTTTTGTTATTTTTGGACCAAATTGTATTTTCGATGCTTCAAAAAAATTCTAACTAACCCATTGATGTCACATGGACTACATTGATGATGTCTTTATTTCCTTTCTAGATAAGGACAGTACACATACATTATTGATGGAGGGACAGAAAGCTCTCGGACTAAATATAAAATATCTTAAATTGTGTTCCGAAGATGAACGGAGGTCTTACGGGCTTGGAACGACATGAGGCAAACATGTCATTAATGACATAAAATGTACATTTGTGGGTAAATTTTACTAACCCTTTAAATGGATGCTTGAGCTTATAATAGGCCTATTTCGTCAAATGGCACATGCAGAGCATTAATAAACTCGATTCATGAATTATCAATCAACAAAACTAGTCTGACTGTGTTTTATTTAGCAAGAATTCAAGCAAGAGCACTGAAGAATCATGTCAAAAAATAAAATAATCTCCAAGCAAGATCTGCCCATTTTTCCCTAAAATCATTGTGAATATAATAATAAAAAAACTGTAGTTTCCTATCACACATGGATTGGCACATAGAAAATCTCAGTGAAGAGAAAACGTTTTCAAGGTTCACATTCAGAATGGCATCTATCAACAGTGCAACATGAGCACATGTAAGTCACGTCAGCACCTTGGATAGTTCCATTCGCATCTCTTCAAATGTAGGTTTATCCTCTTGAGACCCACTTGTCCACTGTGTTTTGAGAAAAATATGACAATTCATAAAAATATTAATAGTAGGCTTATACACCGATGTTATACACCAAACACATAGGCTAAATAGCCTGCCCAAAAGAATAAACCTTTTCTTTGGGTCTCAGGAGGATAGTGGAGTTACTCAGATAGCCTTAGTAATGACAGCTGAGAGCGACAATTAGATAGAATAAACGTTAATTTGTCCTTTCCGTTTTTATGTAAGACTGTGAAGCAACAGATACAAATCTATGACATGCATTAGCTAAACCGGCGTCGCCATGTTATAAATCACCATTTAATACTGTTAAAACAAAGCCAACAAAACCGTGTCATAAACCGGCTATTATATTGATAAATTGGCTCGTGGCGCAACGCAACAGTCACTCAAGCAGAGCTGATCACAGTTACAATCCAATAAATTAGTAGTAATTGATCTCTGCTTGGATTTCGATCACAGTCAGCGGTCCAGTTCGCTTCCATCCTTCTTATAATCTCCTTCGTTTTTTAAGTCTTGGAAAACCTCTGTGAAAAAGTGCGGATCCATGTTAATCTGCAGCATTTTCCCGCTTAGTTTATTGATGACATCTAACGACCGTTCAAAAAACGCGTCCGCATTGGCGTCGACCATGAAGGGCTTGAGAGGATACGAGATTTCGTTTCCGATGTAGGAATACGCCAGATAGAGGCAGGTCAGAAAGGTCCCGTGGAGTTCACGTGCATTGTCAACAACATCGGTTACAGTTTCCCTAACGAGCAGATAGACGAACACCAGGTTGGCTGGCGTGATGAACCCGTGGTCCTGCCAGCCCTGCAACAGCAGAGTCCTGTCCACGTTGCGGAACCAAAGGATGACCTCATTTGAGGTTAGTTCCTTGACTTTTCTGCACCGTTTGCACAGGAATTCACCCAAGCAACGGAGCAGCTCGCCGGTGGAGGCCTGGACGATCACGCGCCGTGGCGAGAGGAGCGACCGGTTGCTGGACTGCTTCTGAACCGACACCAGTTGCTTCGGCGCTGGATTGAGCTGGTCCTGATTCTGATCCAGAAGGGGAGGAACCGTGGGGATGGGCACCGCAAGAGGTCCATTTTTCGTTTTCCGCTCGGTCGATTGTTGCGATTTCCTGAAGTTCTCCTGGTTTAGATTTTCGACCTGACTGCTCTCTGGCATCGGAGCAAGATTCGGATTTACTTTCTTGGCGCATTTTTTCTTACCCGATGCAGTCACTAGCCGCTTAAATGTGAGCATGGACACGACTACTGACTGCTTTTTAAGGCTTTTCCCATTGGCTTCGTCTTCTCCATCTTCCAGAATGGCCCCTTTAGTCACTATAGGGGATACAGATAACACGGTACCCATATTGCCGAGCGCGCGACACAAATGTTATGACACGGCCCTGCGCGCGCGGAGACGTCGCAATAGAGCTTGAGCGTATCAAATCACAAGTGCAAATCCATTTGGTGAGTAAAACAGGCAGGTTAGCAGGTGGACTGACAGACCATCATAAAGGAAATTCCAGAGCAGTCAGACACTCCCTCCACTTCTGCAATAGTGACTGCAAGCCAGCCCCGCATTGCCAGCCTCAACCAGAGGAGATTTGTGGTAAGCCTAACCAATCTGACATCAGCTTCTGTTAACCGGGATTATCCCATCGTGTCTTTGTAATTAGCCAACCTCCGGGCTACAGAAGACGAATGGCAGTCTAAAGCACCAATAGAAACATACGTGCCCACATTATCACTTCAGAAGGCAGAATGTACCGCATGAGCCAAGTATAGTTCTGCTATTCCCAGACAGGGTGCCATTCTGTCCTTACTCCATTTCACCTACTTAGTACTGAAATAGGCCTACATCATGTGTTATATAAAATTATTAAACAATGACATGAGATCAACCAAGATTATTGTATTGATAAATGCATAATAAACAACAACAATAACAACAACAACAACAACAACAACAATCTTTGGCCTGGGGTTTTCTAGTATTTTTTTTTTAAATCGTAGCTTATAAATGATAGGCTACATACATTTTCCTAACTCACTACACGTTTTGATATTTGAAACAGGGTATTGAAAGCAAACTGATTATTCTTTCTTGGCATAAATAGGTTACACAAGTAATCCTCTAAATTTCCATGAGATTAGGAAAAGAAACCCAAAATCATTCCAGAATCAAGCTGCTCATCCATCTTAAATCGAGATTAAAGCAGCCAATGTTATCATTTGCTTTATGGTTGGCCTATAGCTATAACCAATCTTCATTTAGCCTAATATTTGTCAGAATATGCAATACCAAGATTTTACACTATAATATGATGCAACAGACTGAATGCAATCCAAATTTGAAACCGATTAATTCCCAAACCCTGTTTATGTGTTGCTGCATGTGCAAGTTGATAGTGTTTTTTGTCTGCTAGCTACTGACCCCATGCTGGTCTCCCATCTGTGGCTCTGCCGAATGACAAAAAGGCCTGTCTGATCATAACAACTGGCAGGACAGATACACTTTACTACACTCTGGTACCTATGAATTATACAGAAAATATTATAATAATAACAATTCCAAGTCTTGCACAACAACAAACCAAACAATACAATGCACTCATCATATTGAGAGTATTGTCTTTAAAAATACATGTTCCATTATAGAACACAGTGAACCCCAGAGGAGTTGCCCACAATGCAGCATCACAGTTGTAGAACTGACAGTACTGCAGTCAGAGTAGCATGTCTCTGTATTGAATATGCAGTGAGAGGGTTATGAATATTTACCTCTTTTCTCTTGTCTGTGAATCCAGCACTTTTCTAAAGGACAATAAAATTATCTGCTTTTAATAATAACAAACCTGTATAAGTGTAGTGCCTCTGTATTTTAAATCTTTAAGCAGCTATTTGGTTTTAATAACATCTTAAAATCAGAAGTGGCAGTTGCCAAGTTTTTCAATATTACTTGAAATGAATCTGGATCATTGTATGACAACAGTTGTGAGGCAACTGTTGTAGGAATTCTAGCTGCTTTATGAGTCAAGGATATGTGAATTAGGGCATATATGCCAAAATCAGAACATTATTTAATGGAGCCAGGTGACTAGGTATAGCAATAGCAGTTAAATCAAGGTTGTTTACTGCCACTGTCCATAATGTATTATTATAGTCACTCCCTGCACTCTCTCTCCACCTTGTGGTCAGTCATATAAAAGCAGTCTACAAATGTAATAAAGAAAAATGTGTGTGTGTACTGTTGATCAATTAAAAAAAATAATCACACTTTTTTTCTGTAATTAATCGCACATAATATTTAAGTTTTTAATATATTTTTTAATTGAAAATGATTTCAAATTTAATCTCCAAATTAGTGGCATCTTTTTATGAATGAAGGCTAGGATCACCACCGATACCAATACTGCTGAAAAAAAAAAAAAAAAAAAATATATATATATATATATATATATATATATATATATATATATATATATATATATATATATATTTATTTATTTTTTCTCAGAGACATCAGCAATTTTGGCCATTAATTAGCCATTTAACATTACAGTATTATAATTGATAGCTATCAATCTTAACATTTATTAATTAGGCTTTTAATTTAACTGAACTTAAAACAATCTTAAAGTGCTCATAGGTTTCCCCATGCTGCCTTACCGCAGCGCGATTTTATCAGTCTGGATACCATGGCCAGATTTTCGCCTCATTTAGGGAACCAATCACAGAACGGGGAGGGAGCGGCAAGACGATGACGACATCTATGCGACCCACTGGAGTAGTTTGTTTATATCTTCAACATGGCAGCAGACGCGAAGCTACCTTTTGATGCAGCCTTATATTGTTCTAAGTAGTAGTTTAGAATGCAAGTTTATTTTAAAAAGAGCAGCTTTTGGTGTTAAACTTTGCGAGACTCCAGTCGTTCATGTTGTCTCTCCTTTAATCGCCTAATGGAGGACCAGTACAGAGGCGGTCAACCTTGGAATATCTGCCGCTCAGCTGTGTCCTGAGAAAGAAAATGCGATAAAGAATTGTCGATACCAACTTCTGTTCGGCAGTCCCGAGGCCTGGATGAGGGAAAAAGTGGCAAAACATGTTATCCACAGAGTTTTATAGTACCAACTCATCGTTCGACGAAGTCCATTTAAATTGGTAAGTGGTATTTATTAATATCATATTGCCATTATTATGCCTGTAGACTAGGCCTACCTACTGTTGTCACAGTTGTGTTCATTTTCAATATCAATATACAGTTACCGCTTTAGTAGCAAAACTTTCAACTGTGCACACCCGAATAAAGTTGTTGACACTTATAGTCATTAAATTAAATTTTTATTTTTTTTTTAAATTTGTGAAGTTTAAGCGCAAACACTTTTTAAATGCAAATAACAATTTCAACTTCTGTTAAACTGTACTTAGTACTGTTTTTCAACGTACAGGCGCATAGACGTTCCTTCAATAAACGGCGCCGGATTCGTAAACCACGCCTCAAATAGGAGAAATGGGCTATATGCACGCATAAGTTCCGCATTTGACGCAAGGATGCTCGTCCATTTCCGGTTGTGGAGATTTAAGTGGAGGAAAACGGGATTATGGCAGAGTCTTCAAAATGAACTGTCCTCCTGTCTTTGAAACGAAACGTACGTTTAGATGTAATTTTATATATAGTTATGGATATTTAATATAATTTAAAAAAGAAGCATAAACACAGCGAGGGGTGTCTGTTTTATCTGTTTTTGTGACTAACGTTTCTTTAGTACAACCATGGAGTATAAAATTCAATATAAATTCTCGGTATTGCATTGGACTCTATGATCGGCGGAAGTTATCAAGCATCCTTACACCTTCACCGGAAATACCGCCGTGCATAGAGCCCATTGAACATGTGATTTGATTCCCAGACCTAAGTCTCAACGAGAATTGGGTCTGGCATTAGCCAGGCTACTCCTATTATGGATTTTTGAATGAAAAGATCCTGCAAAGTTTAAATCTGAAAGTTCAGCATATAAAGTTATTGTCTTTCAAAAGTAAGAGTCGACTCTGAGTCAATGAAATGAATTGTTTTTCAAACGAGTCATAATCCATTTCGTCGTGATGTTAAGATGAAACATTTGCATATTGCACGTGCAGACACCTTGGTAAAATTGAACCTCAATCACTAGCTGATTCTTGTAGATAAAAGGCTGTGTTCTACAATGTGAAGGTAAAGCCATTTTTTTTTGTCACTGCCCAAGGACATGCATAGAATGCATGCTAACAGGCGTGGTTAAAATTCATCTTTTGAGTTTTGAGTTTTATGTTGTGTAAGTCTCCTACTAACTGGTTAACTCACATTATTACTATCTTACTGAAATACTTCTGCTAATCAGCTGTGGGCCACAACAACTATTAGCCTACCTAAAACTGTGTCTATTAATGTGTCTTTTAATTGTCTGTCATTCTCACTATTTTGAGGAAAGACTAATTATGGAGCAAGACTTGTTTTACCAACGTTTAGTCCTTCACGCTATAGAGCTCGGCTAATGTATGCACTGTTACAGTTTCCACATGTTCACCGCAATAAAGTAGAAAAATACTCAGTAAATAAATAAGTACAAGTAAAATAATCGGTTTGTAGAGGCACATGTTAATGCTGGTGGTGAGGAATTACAGTTGCAACATCTCATAATATACCTCAAACTGTGTAGTGTGTTACCAACGCATTCTCATCCCAGGACGTCAAATAGTAACGCTTTTGACAATGCATATACATCCAACGCACTTATGCACATGGCACCCTTTGGCGTCAATATAACATGCTTCGGTTATGGGTAGGTTTAGGTCTGGGCTAGGGTTAGGGTTAGACCACTAGGATGCGCCTTCTGGCCCATATATCTGCGTCTCATATTGACGCTAAAGGGTGCCATGTGCGTTGGATGTATACGCATTGTCAAAAGCGTCAGTATAATACGCCTTGGGATGAGAACGGGCTGGTATTACTGAGAAACGTCCGCAGTTGTCCTTGCAATTCTGGTTAAATGAATAATTCTTCCGACGTTTCATCATCAGACTCGTGCTCAAATTTACATGGTAAAATCAACGTCATCATTCGTGTTTAGTTTATGGTGTAGAAAGCCTTAGGCTTATAGAGCTGACACTGTTATTATGGCAATGGACGTTTTTTTTGTTTTCGACATGCCCGATGTGCGGTAAACCTGTTGTTGGAGACTCCAAAAGTAAACAACTTTAAAATATAGCATAATAGGGGCATTTTAACATAAACCCACTGTGATAAATGTCACATTTCCCTGCCCTTTAATCCTCAGATTTTTACTTGCCCTGCCAAAATGCACAAAAATGTATTGTTCTCTTTGTTTTTTTTTTCTTTGATTTGCATTAATGACACAACAGAAGGTTAATCGGCTGCTGTCACTTCAAGACCTGATGCACATGATGCAGATCTGACATGCATCATTTTCTCACAACTCGTTACCTTCATCTGCTTACAGGGTACCAGAGAAAACTGTCCTTTGGCATAATTTTGTGGGGTTTTTTTTGTTTTTTGTTCGTTTTTTAATGGTAAAGAAGAGAGGTGAGGGATTAATAGAGCAGAGGTAGGGGGACACATAACCAAGGTGGCTACTTTTTATTTTTTAAATTTTTCTTTCTTAAAAATAAAAGTATGTTAAGAATGTCTTCCAGGCTTGTGCAATTGCACACAAAGACTAGACAC